GTAATTCAATGGATGTTGATGTAGGGGGGTGTTGATTAACCAGTGATTCCAGTATATTTTCTTGATCATGCTGTTGAATTAGAATCAATTTGGATTAGCAAATTTAGTAATGATACTGCATTTTTCCTTATTGGGAAGTTTGTAAAGAAGCTTATCAGTTCTTCTGATGCTGACCAGTCAAACAAACCTGGAGCATAGTTCTCCTGGATTTCCTTGCTCCAGGCCCGTAGTTTTGTTTTGTTTTGTTTTGGTTCTTGGGTTGTTTCTCTGTAGTTTGCAGAGAAACAACCCAGTGGCTACTTTGTGTAGCACTGGTTATCTTCTACGTTGGGTTCTGCTTTCTTTAGCACCTGAGAAAATGTATTTATTTGTTTAACGTATTTAAAACTTTTCCACTGAAAATGTATGGATTTGAATCCATTCCACATTACACAGATAGTCAGGCATTTTTTGTTCCATCAGTCCTTCATAGCAGGAACTGGATTTTTCTGAGGGATGCCTGAATATTTCATTCAACTTCTCTCAATTTGCCTAATGTTCATCAGGAGTAATGTACATTAGTTCTAATGAGCATTAGTACAAATATACATTAGCAGGAATCCTCTCCAAAAGTGTGTGTGGTGGGGATGGGATGGTCCATAAATCTTTTGAATCCCTGTGATTTTGAAGAAACTGATCTGCTGCAGAATCCACAGGTCAGATTTATAGAAATATGAAATCATTTGAATACATTGCAGATTTCTCCTACATCTGTAGTTGTAACACTAATTTAACTGTCTCCAGACAAGAGTCACCTCATTTAGAGAACATTGCACTCTAAAACTAAGAAAATCAGATATCTCACACTAGAAGTGCAACATCAAATGCAAACATGGACTGTAAAGCTCAACAGATTTCGTTGCTTTGTTGTGTTGCAAATGCCCTTGCAAACATTCAGCTGCAATTCTTGTTGTTAGTTGCGAAGTCATGTCCGACCCATTGCGACCCTATGGACAACATTCCACCAGGCATTCCTGTCCTCCACCATCCCCTGGAGTCCACTTAAGCTCACATCAGATGCAATTATAGAAGCTTAAAATGGTCCAAAATTTGCTTAGGCTGCCATGCTAGATACAGTTACCTAAAATAATGTCCTAATGAATTCAGTGAGCTTAGCTTAATTCTAAGGAGACATGTATAGGATTGTACTATAAATCTTTAATCCACAGTTTAAAAAAATGTATTATGACTAAAATGACATGAAATATTGGGCAAGTTTTTGAACTCTCTAGAAGTTCTAAAATGTATTTAGGATGCAAATCTAAACTTTGCTTGAGATGCAGTGACAGTAAACACCACAAGATTTACATCTGGATAGAAATATATATGGTTAATTATTTTTATATAGAAAAGCTGTTCATTAATTATCTTTTCAAAACTAATCTTCATCTGGGAAAGTCTGAAAACTTAACTGAGACAAAGCATTCCTTTTTCTTCTTATGTTTATTCAAGTTTGTGTTAGCTTTTTTAAAAACTTCCCTTAACTGAAAACCTGTGTGTTTATGTGAGAGAGAGATATATAATATAATATTAAACAACTTTAAAACAACTTTTTCTTACTGCTCAAAGAAACAATTAAACAATTCTGAATAGAGAGCCCCAAAGAATGTTGACTCATGAAATTTCAGTGTCAATTTTTCATATTTCCTGCAATCTGTACATATTTTGTGTAATTATTTTGGGAACTGCATCTGCTTCAACACCTGCAGAATTACTGCAAGCTGTCATTTTCATTCTGAGGAAAAATATTTAAATTTTAGATTTGGCACCTGTCAGAAAACAAAACACAGTAAAACAAAACAAAAAGGGGGAAAATGGTACAAGTGGATATTATTATACAATGGCTAATAATCGCCAACTTTCAGCCAGTCACATGGAATGACAGACAGTATTTCCAAAGTGGAACTGAATGTCAGCAGGATGAAAGCAAGGCATCCTGCAAAGTAATATCTCCTGACATCATAGACCTTATTCTGATTAGCCCACGTAAAATGGATAGCTCCAGAAAGATGACTTATAAACACTTGACAACACTTTTCCCCAAAAGTCCTGTCAAAAACTTTCACACTGGTCCCAGTAACACACGTCTCAGTTACAGGCCCTGTTTGACAGACTAGGATGTAGGGACCTGTCAGCCGAAGAGCAGACAAAGATTATTGTTAAGGGGATTTGGTACTTTGTGTATTTTGCCTAATAGGAGAGCCTGTGCTCAGCATTTCCCGAAGCAAAAGAAGACAGATGAAATCTCTGGGCACTTCATTGCTACTGCCTCTCAAAGATTTCCTGTCAAAATGGGCCTATGAGGGGAGAAAGATTTTCAATAACATTTTTTTTTAACCTGGCAGGATTTCCAGTCTTGCTATGAAGAGAGTTTGAAGGCGCTTGTCTTTGTAAAAACCTCTGCTGCCAAGCTACCAGATGTAGTTGTGTTTAAAAATAAAAAAAGCAATATGATTCACATTACCATAGCCTGCACTATAAAAACCGGTTCTGATTGACAGCTTATCCATATTTTATTTAGTGTTTCCTATTCTCCACCCCCACCACCCCATCAAACACTGCAAGGGACTTTGATGTTAGTGCAGTTCTTAACTTAAATCAGCCAGTTGTTGCCAACTATTTTAGCAGCATGGTTTTCAGCCGAGCATGAAGCGAATCAGATGTACCTTCTTGAAATAGGAAGGTACTTTAGGACTTTGCTCCACCCTGCTCCCACCCCCAGCACAGGCTTAGCTGAGGTAGGGAGACATGGCAACTCCTTTGGGATGTAAAACAGGTGCTCACTGCCAAGTGCAGTGGAATGCATTTGGAAGTGGCCTCAAAATGGGTTCCACTGCGTAGCATCCAGGTCAGACAATATATCTCAAAGGTTCTACCTGGATAGATTTTCAAATTTCTTGAGGAATCTAGCCTTTGACAAGAAGGAACTTGTTTTGGAGATGCACATGTGAGAGAAATGCAGCCAGAAACATACCACTTCCAGAAAGATGGACTTCGTTGTTCATTTGCATATGCCTTGATATGAAAAATGTCTTTTCCAAGCACTTTCCATTTGTTTAAGAGGATTTCACTTTGCTTATTAGAAGACATTGCAGTTATGAATCCCACATCAATAATATTTTGTTAGTGCGCTGTCATTACATATCTTGTTTTCATATATCTGCATGAAAAAGAGCACTTATGGGAACTTAGTTCTTATTAAAGCTAAGGTCTTTTGGTATGTTTATTCAGGTACAAGGGACTGAATATAACACAATGGGTATGAAGGGTACCTGTATGTAGATTTTTTTTAATGACAGAAGAAAAACCATAATTCACTAGAAAAGTCTTTGTATGCAAAGGGTTCAACCCTCAACATTTTCATTCAAAAGAATTTCACATAAGTTGGCATGGAAAGCCTGGACTGAGTCCTTGGAGAGCAGCTGACCATCAGAGTAGACTGTAGTGGGTCTGAGATAGGTGGGCCCTGAGATATGACAGCTGAATATGTCTATGTTCTGGCATTCAAACAGGTTATCTTCTATATTGCTAGGATTCTGCAGTCAAGCATATATTTAATAGTTATGCAGTTAGGAGACAGGCAGGGATGCAGCAAGCATAGCCTGGACAAGGGAAAACCAAGGACAACCAGGCAACATTCAGAGCATCAGGGCATTGCAAATAGCTAAACACATGTAAGCCCGTTGAAGAGCTCTAACCAGCAGCTCCTGACCGATCTGCCAGCAAGTTCATTCTATTTCTTTTATGCAAGGAAGGGGAAATAGAACAGGGAAGGGACTGCATAAAGTTTTGGGTAAGAGGACCCTACGCAGTCATCCTCTACCACACCTTGACTGAAGCCAATTACTTAAAAAATACTGTGTTTCACATATGTACATTTAAAGTTATGGAGATTACATTTAAAATTAAAAACACAGAAGAAATATCTTTTCATATCTTTTAAATCCTACCATTTAAATATTCATTCAAAGTAAACCTTATCTTGCAAGACAGGAATGATAAAATAGAGGTTCTGCTAATAATAATGGGGGCAAAGCATTCTAGTGTTTTTTAAGACTTGTAACTCTTAGAAAATCAGGACTTGGTTATTCACCACTTCAGCCTTAGATTCATCAGTGAAGCAATTGTGTGAGCCGCAATCAATTTTATCCTTTAATAAACATTCCCTCCACCTGGGACTGACATCATGCTGAGGGACTTTCACAATTAACACTTCCTCTGGTTGACAATATTTGGCTTTCAGCAGCTATTACTGCCACTCCGTTATCTCCGATTTCACGTACTATCAGATAGATCAAGGAACAAATTGAATCATCACTATTTCCCATTTGTCTATTGTAAGAACAAAACCACAGCCATTCCAGTTTAATATCTATATCATCTCTGTCTGTCTGTCCATTCATCCAACCTGATAGAAAGCCTACAGATAATAGATGGTCAATTAGGAATCAACAAAATAGAGGAAATAGATCATCAAAGAAAGGTCCAAAGGATACGTGTGTGTGTGTGCGCATGTGTGCACACACATAATATTTTCATATGCAAATTTAGTTTTTGGTTTTTTTTAAAGAAATACACTACATTTCACCATGGTGTGAAAGACTGTGGTTAGATGAATTCTATGATTTCTTGTACTATCTGTTATCATGGTACTCCTTGTTGATGGGCAAGAGTTCTTATGGTACTTTATCTTTTAACAGGAACTGGATCGGACAGACCTCAAATAAAGGGCACTTCCAAATTGGGGATGGTCCTCTAGAAGCCCTTCAAATAATCCTCTGTAAGAGAGAACACATGGCCATCCTACAGCTGAACCTCTTACTAGATACTTCAAACATTATAGAGGATTAAGTAAAGAGCAGATTTGTGGGAAATACCTCCATAAGTTTACATGAGAAAGAGTACACGGCTCATTTTTTTTAAAGTAAAAATGAAATTGTACATGTTTATGAGTTCAAGGTCCACTTCGCACATGAGATGGACTTAAGTTGTCTTTCTGCATGGATACACTGTTCCTAGATTGCAGCATTTGTATAACTTAGGCTGACAGTTTCACTGCAGTGATTAAAACCATCATATGGTTGTATGAGGAATGCTTCACAAAAATGTTTCCTGTGTGGCAAAGTATTGAAGAAACATGTGCAGTGAAGACTTCAGCAACATTGTTGCTGAGACAAGCAAATGGTAGTCTCTAGTAGGTTGTGGAAAAGGACTACCATTCAAAGGTTTTGGGGGAATGTGAAAATGCCTTTGTCTGACATTTGCCTCTGTCATGGGCAAGTCACAAAGCCAAATAAACACCAGCAGAGATGTGCTCAGTGTTTTTGCATTTTATTTGGGGGGTTCAAAGAAGTACTTTTGGGTAGCAATTACTTCTTAAAATATCCAGGCAGAGAAATACTGGTGACTCTGGAATGATGCAGATTCTACTCCTACTCAGGAGGTCATAGACACAGTAAGAACCCCTGTGTGAAAAAGGAATGCAAATTCCATTTCAAAGGTCTCTCACTAATCATGAAATATTCTACAGATGCTCCCTTTCCTGAAGTTTCCACTGTGTCTTTAGGAGAAGATTGGTGAGGAAAAAGTACTGCGTGATTGTGAGTGGACACAGGAGAGAAGAGAGAAGACTTGGATCCACCTCAGGCGCCAGCTGTCCCACCTACAACTCAACATTATCTTTAAAGTGGAACAGAAGGTGAAGCACCTTACTTGTTGTGCTTTATTCTTGCCAGCAGGGCTTTGGATGCTTGGAGGTATAAAATCTCAGAGCCTTCTATCTTAAAGGCATCAAACAATAGGATTTCACTGGTAAATATGATGGTTTTTACTCATGCGATTTTTATTATCCACCCCTTGTTTGATCCTGCATTTTCCACCTAATTACTACTCCTTCCTATCTTAGTCACATGAGTAATCTCAGCCAGTCCAGATTCACATATACCCAGCTACACTATACACTCAATCAGATGAGTCATGCAGTGGTCAGTCAAGGCAAATAAAGCAGCTGTAAATGATGGAAAGCTTTCTAACATCAGTCAATCACATGGATGATCCCACCCAATCATGGAGGGCAAATGGAGTCAATTCAGAATGAAAACAAAGTTTCTGTACACCTTTGAAAAAAGCGTCAGAATCTTACAGAGAGGATGAGATTTTTTAAGAGTACTCTTGAATATGTTCACAAAATGCAGTGAATAGCCCTACTTAAGAAGCATAAGCAAATCAAGATAACTAAGGAGGTACTCCTATGGGAATGCTTGTAAGCCTCTGAACTCAAAGGATTATGGGCATTGCTATGCATAGCAGGAGGAATGCCTTTGTGTTCATCCTGCCCTGTAAAGCAGCCAGACAGATGATTCTGGTTGTCTAATTGTAACGCTTTGGAGCAGGAGGACAAGAGACTTGAGTGCCTCCGGAATACCTCCTACCTGACAGTCCAGTCTCCTTCCCCCTTTTTCCTGAGATGCCCCCTTCCTGAGGTTACCTTTATTACCACAAAGAGGCAGCCAGTGTGGTTCTTTCCATGCCAGATGCAAGAAGGGAAGAGGCATGAAATCTGAGCATGAAATCCCATTTGCAACATTGCAACTGGGACTCCAAAAAAATCTTATGGTCTTTTGGACATTATCTATCCTACAGGCCATAGGATTGCTTTATAAATGGGCTGCTTGTTTTGTGTTGAAGTTTTGAAGCACTGGTGAAAGAAATTACAAACAGAAGTAATGTAACTCCATAAACGCTAAATCGGCATGACCGGTAATAGGGAACTGTCTACTGGCACAAGCCATTTCAGGAAATGGATATAGAAAAGCACTGCATATTCAGTTGCCAAGACTTATATCAGATTTAACAGACTTTGGAAGACTCTGTATATGATATCAGTAAAAACCAGACAGCTATCGGTCATATAATCTCCCTCATCAGACTTCTGAGATGCACACAGAAACCTTCAAATGAGATTTCAGGGAAAGGATACTACTCATTCAGTCCTCAATTGGGCAGACGACTGAGGCTACATTTAGCAATGGTTTACCAATTCTGTACATGAAATCATCCTTGGTGTTCATTCTGGCTCCCTTATTTGATCCCAGATTGACAGAGACCTATAACCTGACTGCCCTTTAACATGTTATAATCTAAAGAAGAGTGTGCCTCAGATTCCAGATTCTGATAGAAATCATTTTAAAAAAAGAGAAGAGAAGAGGCGAGGCGAGGCCCACTACTATCACACAGGAGTATTACAAAATGCATTTAATACAGGAACATAGTTCAGTGGGCAGAGCACACTCTTTGAATGCAAAAGGTCCAGGTTCAGTCCCCAACATCACCAGGCAGGGCTCATTAAGTTGCTTCTTTGGAACTTGAGCCCTTGCCAGTCAGTGTAGGCAGCACTGAGCTAGATGGGCTTGGTACAAAGCTCTCCATGGTGAGTGGTCAAGTCTGTGAGGAATTATTTCAATTTCCCACAAATCTCTGAAGCAGCACTAGTTTGGACACTCAGGGCATTGTGAGAAATTGTACTGGCAGGTCCTAGTCACCTTTGGAGTGCTGCCTTCACCATACAAGTTGAGGACAAGGGAATCCATTGCCATAACAAAGGGAACACTACAGGACAACTTGTCCAGAGTTCCCTCACACCTGAAGGTGGCCATGTAGAGAACTGATCATCAACATCTGCACTGAGAAATGTGAATTTTTCAGCAAGTGAGATCACGTGCTGAGGATGGCCTAAGTGGATTGCTAAAGATATACTACTTCATTATCTGATTTCAGTATAAGTGTGTGTATTCAAAGGAAGTTTAGACACAACAGGAATCTACAGAAATAATGTGAGACTTCCTTTTTTTCTATCTTCCCTTTTGGCAAGCTCACTGTTACACTGGTCCCAGCTGAATAGTACTCATGGCATAGAACATTTTCTCAGGCAGACAATGACTCACTTGGAGATAAACAAGTTCAACGAGAGGTTATTTAGCTACTGTTGTCATCTAATTTCATTCAAGTGAATATAATTTGTTTTTATTTTTGAAACGCAAGTCCCTCATATGGCAAAGTTCTCTAAAGTTAGGAATCCCTAATTCGGGCCAGCACATGCATATACAAAACTATCAACACACCTGCTGTTCTCCACAGAAACATAATATAAAAAAGGCTTTAGGAAAGACTCAGATAAATTTTAGTCAAATAAGTTTATGGGTTTTCATTAATCAATCAATTCAATTTAAATAAATATGAATATCAAAATATCAGTGTGTGTTGCAGTTATTTACATAAGATTAGTGGAAGAGCAAGTTTACTACTGAACCATAGAATCATAGAATAGTAGAACTGGAAGGGACCAGTGGACCATTGGGTCCAAACCCCTGCTCAGTGCAGGACTCCAAGTTAAACCATCCCTCTCATGTGACTGTCCAGTTGCATCTTGAACTCTTCTAGAGTGGGAGAGCCTACAACCTCCCTAGGTAATTGGTTCCATTGTCATACCACTGTAACAGTCATGAAGTTCTTCCTGATGTTCAGTCAGAGCTTGGTTTCCTGTAACTTGAGCCTATTATTCCATGCCTGCACTCTAGGATGATTGAGGTCAAGTCTGGATCCAACACACTGTATTTTTCTACCCTTCAGTATGTGAATACAAAGTATTTCCTTTGCCAGAGGAAATATGTTCTAAAATAGTTTCTATGGCAGTTAAAGAGCCTTTGAGAACCACTTTGAAAAAGGAACCAGTACTGCCTCTAAGTTCCCAAAGTGGCTCATTGCCATCTCTGACATACTGTTTTCTTTGTCTTAAAAACATCCTCAATTTGAGTTTGGAAAACTGGAGGTTGTATCCCTTCAAGAAGTCGGATTTGCCTGGGCCTCTAGATGTTGACCCTTATTCTAGAGCAACCACCACCAATCTGGTACTCTAGAGATGTTTTGGAGTACAACCCTCAACATCGAGTTCTGGGTTCTTCCTCTGGCTGCCACCTCTGAGAGAGGATTACATGGTGGCAACAAGGAGAAGGGCCTTTTCAATGGTGGCCCTCTTTTATGAAACAAGCTCCCCACTGTGGCCAGTCTTGTGCCAACTTTACTTTCATTTCAGCGCCAGGTAAAGAGTGTTCACTACTGCAGGGCATTTCATTAGTTACTGGAGGGTGCTAGTTGTTAGACAGGGTTTAACAGAGTCTTCTCAACTTGAATATTTTATCTATTTGTTTGTTTGTTTATTACATTGGTTTAAAAGTCTCCCATTAGCAACATGCTTTCTGGGTGGCCATTAGAGTGTACAAACAACAAATAATAGTAATAAAATAATAAAATCTCATAATAAATAAACAAAATAAGGTCTCAATAAAATAATTAAATAAAAATGAAACATACATTAATAAATTAAAACTGTACTGTTGCAAATAGTCTACATGGTGCCACAGGTGTGCCAAAAATGGAACGTTTTTGTCAGGAGCTTGAAACTCAGGGGTGTCTGGTGAATCTGCAGCAGTAGAGTGTTCCATAATTGGGGTGCCACCACAGAAAAGGCCCTCCTCCTTGTACCCTCTCTCACAGAAGAGTCCACATTGAATGGGATAAACAGCAGGCAGGAATATATGGAGTAAGGCATTCCCTAATATACTGCAGCCAATGCAGCTGACAGATGATAGGTGCAATATTTTTTTCTGTTTTAAAATTTGTATTGTTAATTTTTATGATGTTTTATTGGCTTTGAATACAATCAACTATGATATCTATTTGGACAGAACAATTAAGGTGGAAGCAGGAGATGTTGCCAAGTCCAGAAGGTGGTGCTGGGGAATTATTGCTGTGTGCCATCACATTTATGCCACAGAGTTCCAGAGGGCTCTATTCTAGCCCATGTGCTCTTTAACATTGACATGAAACTGCTAGGAAAGGCAATCAGAAGGTGTGGACTGAGATGTTATTAGTACACTAATGAAACTCATATGTACCTTTCTTTTTCATCTATATAGGTGAGGCAGTGGATGATTTGAATTACGGTCTGGACTTCACGATGGCTTGGATGGCAGCCACAAACTGAAGCTCAGTCCAGATAAGACCAAGATAGCATTGGTGGAAAGAATCTCCTCTACAGAAGGATGACATCTTGTCTGTTCTGGATGGAGTCACATTCCTCCTGAAGGATAAGGTTTGTAGCTTGGGGGTGCTCCTGGTTCCTGAATTATTGTTGGAATTCCAGGTGGATTTGGTGGCCAGGAGCACCTTTTATCAGTTAAGACTGATTTTTACCTATCTGGACAGGCAGAACCTGGCAATGTGTGTTCATACACTGGTAACCTCTCATCTGGATTATTGTGATGCTCTCAATGTGGGACTTCCTTTGAAGATGGTTTAGAAGAGTGCAACAAGGCTTCTGGCAAGGGCTGGCAGACATGACCATATAAAGCAAGACCTCTGTCATCTTCACTGGTCACCAACTGAAGTCTGGGCCCAAGTTAAGGTGTTAACACTTGTGCTTAAAGCCCTAAATGGCTTGAGGCCAGATTATCTAAAGGAGTGCCTCTTCCCACATGTGCCTGGCTAGTCCCATTGGCCATCATCAGAGGTCCTTTGTAAGGAGCCTCCTCCTCTGGAAATAAGGAGGGTGGCTACAAGGAGAAGGGCTTTTTCAGCAGTGGCATCTCGACTTTGGCACCTCCCCAGAGAGATTTGCCTGGCACCTTCTTTGTACTCTTTCTGGCACTAGGCAAATACCTTTAATTTGCCCAATATTTTAATTGTTAGAATTACTTTAATGCTTTTAGTACATTATCATTGGTTGTACTTTTTTATTGTGCCTTTGATATTGTTCTTGGATAAATTATGGATCTGTGAAGTTTTATACTGGTGTGACTTGTTTGTGGAATTGTTAGAATTTATTGTTGTTTTAATTGTTATTTTTAATTGCACTTTTATTGTATATATTTTAACTTTGAAACCAGCCGAGAAGACTTACGGCTAATGGGGCAAGATAAAAATCTAATAAACATGAACCACCCAGAGAGTGTCAGCTGTTGGGTGGCATAGAAATAAATAAACTTTTTCTAGTCCAGTTTGTATGCATGAAAAGGCAAATAAACACTGTCTTTATTTACCTTGTTTCTTTGTCACCCAAACAGAATCACAGCTATGGAAACTAATTTCTTAGCACAGAATTAGTAAATTTGCACTCACAAAAATCAATGTGGCATTCTGTCACAGCATAAACTGCTGCCCATAATAAAAATGGGTGACAGAATCTGTCTTCAAATGCTGTTACTGAATTTAATGATAAAATACTTTATATTCATTTAATGAAACCATCAATGGATTTGTACTACCACCATCTGTCTCCTTTTGCAACTTGAATCTAAAATCATTTTTCTTGCTCTTCTGTCTTGTCCGTATTTTCAACACTATCGCAGAGGATGATGAATCATTATATAATAAGAATCTTTATATTTGTGATACAGCTGTAAAGTTTCCAGCTTCAATCCGATTGCCTGCCTTCAGAATTCTAGACATGCTGCCAACATCATTCTATGACAGTGGCCTCACATTGTTCCTTGGTAGAAATATAGTCAGCAGCCTTTGTGCTCTCAGATCTGCTTCTGTGCTGACCTTGCATCAGTTTAGACCGAAACCTTGTATAACTGCCAAGGAATTAGGGCAGTGGGGAGTTTGGCTTGGGCAGGGTGCTTTCCTTTGGAGCCTATTGCCAGAAAGACAAGTGGCATTGCCTCTTACCCCTCCTTTAGACTTTAAAAAAAAGTTGTACGACTTCAGCAAATTGTTTGATTTGACTCTTCGGGACAAAACAAATCTGTCTGCTCCATTTCCAGGATTGCTGTAGATTTCTTGGGCTCCATGTTTGCTCTACAGTACTTGCACTCAAGTACTAGGTCTATATCTGTAACCATATCCGTTTTTAAACCATTTTAACCCATCTTGAACCATTGGAAATAGAGCTAGACTAAGATTTCTAGAGATTCTCCCTGTCCCTTCCCCATTTTTCATCTCCTAGAAACAGAAGGTGGCATTGCAGAATTTGCTCCAAGTACTCTCCATCATTGTTTTAGAGAAGATCTCTCTCTCTCCCTCTCCGTCTCACACACAGACTCATGTGCACAATGCCCTGGAACAATGCTACGCACAGGGCATTAGGGAGGATACGAAATAGTAGGCATGGTGTTTTCAGTGGGGTTTGGTTCTGGGTATGTAAGCATGTGATTGTACCGTTAATCCTCTGGTAAGTAACATTTTAGCCATATTTTTCTAAAATGTTGGTCTGAATTATGTCTTCATGATCAAATGTATTTTGCAAAAGAACTTTTGTGTCCTTCTTTTCTCAGCAGTTGGGGTTTCTGTTGCCATGTTTGGAACCCATATTTGAAAGCAACCCAAATGAACTTCTAAAGCCATGAATGGCTTCATTTAGTCATTAATTTGCAATTATCCCCTGAGGATACTTGGCAGTATAGGCTATAGGTAAAGCAAATTTTAAACCATTATTGCACAATTAACTAAATGAAACACTCAGCTGATTGCTCTGATCAGTAATGAACTTTCACGGAAACCAGATCAAAATGCTGCTGTGTCATTTGGAGAGCTAAGGCTATGAGTTCATGGGGGTAGGTAGTGCCTGAGTGATTCCAGAATAAAGTAGAGAATGCACAGGATCAGTCCTGATGGAATCCATTTGAGAGAACAGTGAAAGAGCTAGAGTTCTAATTCATCAATGGAAATGAGATGTCTAAAAGGCCTGGTTTTATGGACTAGTTCAGAGGTGAACAACCTTAGGCAGTCTAGGAGTCAATTCAGCCTCCCTGCCCGACTCCACCTATATTCTTGACACAGCAAATCAGTTTGAAAACAAACCTTTTTTCCCCTTGGCATACTTCTGTAGCTGATGCAAGAGCTCACTGAGAATACATGCAGCTTCAAAACATACCTGTTGTGTGACTCCTGTGCTCCACATCACCATCATATCTCCCCCACCCCATAATTATTGGCATCCCCAGTTTCACACTGCTAATAGAGCAGCACCCCTCCTCTTGCCAGCAACCAAGGCAGCCTCATTGCTTCTGTATCACCATTTTCAACACAAAAGCAGCAATGCCCATTTGGCATGACATTGAGCTGCAGGCTGGGCTCAGACAGAACAGGTTGTCATTGAACCATGTTGTCTGAACCTAGACAGGACCCATGGTGAATGACTCTCAGTTCACATCCCGACAGTAAGCCAAAGGCTCTTTTCATATTTTTTCATAAATTTCAAAAATTCATAAATGTTCATAATTTTATTTAGTATCTATTTTAAAATTAGATTATTGGTTTGCTGATGGTTTATTGTTTTATTGTTTACTGTTTTACTGGTTATTGTTATTGGTCATATTGTGTTTATTTTCCTTCTGTTTCCTATTTATATGCTTGTATAGATAATGTATTTGAATTCTACTGTTTTATGGTTTTGTTTCTTATTGTTATTAACCTGTATCTGTATTTTAAATATATTTATATTGTATATTGTGAGCTACACCAAGAGCCTTTGGCTATGTTGAATGGGGCTGATGAGAAATGGAGTCCAGCAGTATCTGGTGCACCATGCGTTCCTCAGCCCTGTCAATAGGTTTTATATAGGAGAACAGAAGTATCCTATCGAGCACGTACAAGATCCCATAGTAGCTATGGACCAATATAGATGTTTGACTTGGACAGAATTTCTATTCCTGTAGTTATGGATTCTATAAACAAGGTTCACAGTGCATGACTTTTTCTTCTGAAAAAGAAGGGAAGGAAGGGAAGATCATATCATTTCTTCTACTGCTAGGTTAGATGAATGTCCACATTATGTTTCATTAAAGGATTTCAGGATGGGGGGAAACATCCGAAATACTTAACCTTCCAGCATCAGTAAAAGAATTTGAGCCCATGCAAGTTCTATACTGGAGACGTCTTAAAGTGAACTGCATGATTGGTGCTTATGAATCACTAAAGCAGAGGACACTGGTTTGCATACATTTTGCACAAACTAGTCTATATGCATAACTGAAAATTTAGAATTATTATAATTTAAATAAAAATACACCACATAGTGGGAGATGAACAGGTTACCTCCATGTCTGCTCACTGCACAGATGCAAACTGTTAATGGGCAACTTCAAGGCTTCTGCTTTTCTGCCAATGATATTTTGACTTTATTTGACACCTGAACTAGAGATTTCCTCAAATAGTGGACCATTAAAGCTGAAGGCAGTCTTCTGGTGGCCTCTCAGATAGAGGAATGTCCTTTGTTGAAGGACACAAGACCACATTAAACAGCAAGTAATACATACATTTGTATGACCAGGCCAAGACCTTTTTATTTAAATGCCATTTTAATTGTTGGTTTTATTTATTTATTTATTTATTTATTTATTTATTTAAAACATGTTTATGCTGCCCCCATCGCAACGAAGCCTTGGGGTGGCTCACAACGAAAATTTATTGATTTTAACAACTTTGGTCAGGATGTCTCCAACTGTATTTTATTGTACTAATGATATTTATTTATTTGTAAGCCGCCCCAAGGCTTAGGCGAATGGGGCGACATATAAGTCTGCTAGATAGATAGATAGATAGATAGATAGATAGATAGATAGATAGATAGATAGATAGATAAATATGACTGGAGCATACAATAATTGTAAGATAATAGAATGTACATAAGGTTTATTTTGAATTTATGTAACATATATAATAAAAGAATAAAGAACTGTGTTTGCTCAGCATACACCTTTCCATGAACCTCTAGACTTTCAGAGGGGAGGGAGATCTCATTTTAAGTAGAAATAATTTTCATCAATGTTCAAATTTCCACATCAACAATGAAATTATGAGAGAGGAAAAGTCAAAATGACTGCTGACATAAAATTAGCTCATCTGCCATCTCAGACTAGAAGCTTTGGAAATGGTAATCATTTTTTTCCTTAGGTTATTGTAGATTTTTGCATTCAGTGCCAAGAACTCAGTTTTCTACTTAATGCTATAAAGCAACACTGAATAAATACAAATAGTTTAATTTTCCTCTGCAGTCACATCCTCCCACAGTGGTGAGTGTAATTAGGAAAAAGCTACATTGCATGTCTGGAATAGTGAATGCAGCTGATTGTTAATCATTATATTTACATAGTTTATATGAAAAATATTTAAATTCATGAATGCTTAAACTTTTTTGCCATAACATTAATACTTGAACAGGATCTGAATGTATAATACTGTATGTGCAGGCTCTTTTGTGGCATTCATTGGAAAAATTGCTTGGACAAGTATAGGAAGCATTCAAGTGAGAGTCAAAGGGACACGATTTGGACAAACATGACATGTTGTGGAGTGGGGAAATCACGGGGAGGTGATACATCGCTGAAAATGGCCATAGATTCATATTTGCATAAAGAAATATTAAGCTAGAATATATTGAAAGATATTGGGGAAATCACCCCTGTGAAGCTTAATCTGCAAAATGCATTCTAAAACATATCTCATATTAATTATGTGATAGTTTGTCATCTGTGTTGATATTGATTCCCTGCAAAAACACATTAAGTGAAGAATTTATGTGAGCAGCAGAAAAACTCATTTGTATGACAACAGTAATCGTTGTGTTTGTTTTATGAACAGAAGTAAAAACAAAACAGAAACACTCCACATATTTTGGAAATATACGAACGACTTCTTGCAATACTGCACACCTTTTAACAAAACCACCCATCTAAGAAAATACAAGGTGGGGAAAGCAAAATTGGGCTAATTCTCCTGTAAAAATTTTATATAACAGAAGTGCTCTACACGTCACTTTTAAGTCTGAAAAGAACATTCAGAAAGAATAATGATGCAGAATGGGCACAGTACTCCTGGGATCCGCCTCAGAGATAGCGGCATCTATTTCAGTGGCAGCAGGGAAAGCTGTGGCGACATAAGCTGATCGTCTATCATTCTGAGTTAGCGATAACATGAAGTCCGCCCTCCACTTTCCTGAAGCATCTTCCACCGCCCCCAGAAAAGGGGCTTTGGATTTTCTGCTTTAGGGCTATTTAGAATTGCTTGAGGTGTTTCCCATCATTGCAAGGTTACTAAGAGCGAGGCAGAGTGAGGCCATTGCCTCAGACCACAGCAAGTTGTTCAAGGAGGATGTTCCTTGCAACTTACTACAGATTCTCTAGGTTCGTGTGCCCCATCGTTAGTATGGAAAACACATTACAGATTACTCTGCCAGTCCAGTCAGCTTTTGTACATGAAAGGAAAGGGTGGCACACCATCTTGCGCTTCTCCCCAAGGGCCAAAATGTCCTGGCCACACCTTAGAAGCACTGGTTTCTCTCTCTTTCCATTATCTAGCTTTCTAGTGCTCTGCAGCCTTCCCAGCTTTCTAAGCAGAAAAAGGCTCATAGGAGCTACTCCATGGTATTTTCCACTGGGCTTCAACTGAAGGCCAGTAAGACAGAGAAGTTAAAAGATCTCAGAATATATGGTTACATAGTGAAAATGAGAGCAGTCACACAAGCCTGGCCATATTATAACTAAGGTGAGTACAAGAAAGCACAGGAAACCAACTCCCCACCCATGAGAATTTCACAGAAATTTTATTTGACTCTCTCTCTCTCTCTCTCTCATGCACACACACACACACACACATCATTTCCTTTCTTTCAAACTACATGAGAATGGTACTAAAAATGAGATTTTAAAAAATAACACTAAATTATGTATTTATGAATTTAGCATGATTTTAAGCCACATCTGCTGTGGCATTGTCTGAAGAAAGATGGTGGATTTCCAGATTGGGTGGTTTAGGCAGCTGGTTGTGAACATGCAATACGAGAAATCCTCTTATATCCTACTTATTGCCTTTACTTGGAGCAATGCAGAAGGAGCTCTCATAATGAAACTAAAAGTTAATGCTTCTATTGTCCTTACAAAGTGCTGTTCCCATGTGCTGGTATCTCCTGTTTCACCAGTGAAGCTTGCAAACCTGTATCACATGAGGTAAGAGAGCACACCAGTATCAGAAGCCATCACAAGGGTGAATGATTCTGGCATGGCAACCCAACACTTGGTGGTTTGTGTTCTACACTGAGGTGGGAATAGGTGCTATGCAACGGTCCAGTAGGACTGGCACCTTAACTGAATTAAATGAAATCATGAGTGCTTCGGAAGAGGGCTTCATATCCTTCGCACATTAAAATCTTGCCTTGGCTACTGCTCTTGCACCTGCTCATGTCCTCACTCCTGCACATGTGATGATTATTAGAAGTGGGCAATCAGGATCTCTGCCTGAATGAAGACGCTCCACACAGATGTAATAGGACAGCCTATGTGCTCTCCCACATAAACTTTTAACATGTGAGGATAGTGGCTTAAACCTCCTTAGTCTCAGACTCATAAGCAATATTCTTGTTGGAAGTGAGACAGATAGCTGCTCTTGCCACACATTCTCAAAGCCTGCTGGCTGGAGGAGGAGGGAGAACAGGAACTTGGGCCAGTTCTAGTCACTGAGTTGAGAGAAGCGGAGGCTCCCCAGACCTCCCAGGCGTTCAGGTTGCCCCTGGAAATAACCAAGGTGTACAGTTAGTGGGAGTGGGCTTGGAACAGGGCAGTTTCTCAGATACAGTAGAGGTGAGTAGAGCTCTTGATGTAATGTCTGCAGAGGGGGTGGCCCAGTTAGAGGATCGCTGCACAGAGAGAAGGTGAGCTCACTTTCCGAAGGCCCTTCTCGAAGGGATAGGGCCCAGGCATGCTATAAGGAAAGTCCTTGGAGGTGAATACTAGATTTGGTTCAACAAACCACTCTGTGGATGCTCAGAGATTTATTCTGAGTGTTTGTGATTCTGGAAAACACTTTGGTCAGTCAAGAACATTTTGCAAGGAAGGTCTGTGGCTTTGAGTATGCAAAGGGAGGAAACCTAGCCCATGACAATTTTTTGCAGCACTTCACCTGTCTGTTCCAAATTCATTGGGTGGTACTTGGAAGAAGTTGAAGGTCCATATTTTTTGAGAGCCCTTAGGCAGAATGCCCTGGATCATCCACATGCCTCCATAAATCAGGCTTGTCAATGTCACTGGCATCAGCTGCCACTGCTACTCATCCTCTTTCTTATCATGGCTACTGCTTGCATGCTTGGCAGGCCAGAGAGCCAGTGAGCAAGTGGGTTGTGGAAACTTCTGCTGATGCATCTCACTTCCACAGTCACCTGGACCCATTAAAGAGATCACTGAACATGCAGGTTGTATTGGTGAATAAGGAGGAACAAGTCCTGTGGCTGTCACTGTTGGTATACCACCATGCCTACAAGATGATTTTGACTCTTCTGCTTTTCTGTTGCCATTCTGAACTTGTGTATGTGTGTGATAGCAAGGGTGGGAGTGGCCTGCAAATGGGGGCAAAAATGGAGGCTTTCAGACCACCCAAAGTCATTCACCTCAGGATCATTTTGGAGTTGCTGACACAAAGTTTGCAAGGAAGAAGGGATGATCTGGTTTTCTGTTTGGAGTCCAAGACTATGATTGCATTGGTCTTCAAAGGGATTGTATTTACATTTAGTTCTCTGAGGGCAACTGCTCGGTGATTCTGTATAATTGTGGCTCCAGCTAAAAACACTTTGTTAACTTCATATTGTTGCAGGTTTCGTTCCAACCCACAGAACCCAGACAGGAGAAATTATGTGCACACATAATTTATTTATTTTATTTAGAAAATTTCTATGCCACCCCATTCGCCAAAGCCTTGGGGTGGCTCACAAATATATCAATTAAAATATATTTGAACAATGAACAGATAGTCATGATGGAGGAGTGAATGGGGAGCACGAAATTCAGTTTTTGATACTCCCAGGTAGTAACCAACATAGACAAAGTGATGAATGAGTGGCCTTCTATGCAGTGCTACATTCCCAGCCAAGATATATGTTCTCATGTTGCCTCTTTGGACAACCCAGACTTCATCCAGAAATGAATGTTAATCTTGAACACATTTTTCCACATGCAGATTTCTTACATGGGATGCATACTTGCATCTGTGTTGCCAAGTCCTTGTAATAATGAGCAGTGAAAACTGCACTGTTGCATGATGTAACGGTGAGGTACCATATCAACACTGACACTGCTGGGAGTCCCCACCTCCCAGGAGCCTGCAGGGACCAGGAAAACCCACCCCCAGCTCCTAGCGAAATGGAACACACTGGACCAGCACATGTTGACCCAAG